CTTCCAAGGGAAGTGGTGCTGGCCCCTACCCTGGGGGTCTTTAAGAAGAGGCTGGATGCCCACCTAGCTGGACTCGTTTGAGTCCCATTTCTCTTTTTGGGGTTTTTGTTGTTCTCCCGCCCTGGCGGGGGGTCGGGCTAGAAGATCTACTAGGTCCCTTCCGACCCTTAATCTATGAATCTATGAATCTATGAATGTGCCAACACCTGCTCTTGGGTCACCCCAGCACAAATTTAGTTCTTGTGTTACCCAAGGCTCCCCTACTGAAGTCTTTTGCTGGAGGCATGAAGCAGGAAAGGAGGAGTTGCATGGAGTGACGACTTCCTAACATTACACCTTCTGCATACCTGGTCCTCTTGGGTGCTGACCCAAGAGCAGGTGTTGGGGGAGAAGGGGAACCCACCTACTATTGCTGCCACTGTCCTGAAAGGAGCCTAGCCTCCATGCAGCTCAGCTGGAGCAGGGCAGGAGCTCCCCTTCATCTCTGGGACAGTAAAGAAAGCAGTAGGTAGTGGAGTGGGGAATGGGAGAGGAGGGAATCGGGTGCGGGGAGGGGATGTGCCTCTTGGGCAAGGAGGGTAAGGTAGGGTGGAATACTTACCTGCATTGAGGACTTTAAAAGGTCCCTGATTACTGCTCCTGCGGTGTGGTCTGCCCGCCCTGGGGAAGTTAGAGTGGGAGGCTGGAAGCAGAGGGTGCAGCCACTCTCGCAGCACCAGTTGCTGCTCCTGCACCTACTTTTGCAAAATCCTGAATCTGCTTATGGCTAGTGGTAATGTTGGCACCAGTGGTGATGCGTAGTGGGTGCATGTGCAGGTGAGAGTTCAGGTGTAGCCCTTGACCAGCCACACTCCCTGCTTAGGGGATGGGCAGGGAGGGCAGGTAGGGGTGCCGGTACCCCCCCCCCACAAGCACTGGCTGGGGAGTGGGAGTGTCGAACATAGCACTGCAGCTGCTTCCAGGAACAGTGTGGCCACTTCCCGGTTGATGAGATTGGTCGCAGGAGGATCCTGCCCTCCTGGCCAGTTGGAGATCTGGCCCCCGCCAGTCATTGACTGGTCACTGGGGGGGGGAATGGGGGGGGCACGTGCCCCCCCAAGGTGGCACCAGTTGCCCGTGGTTGGCACATTATTCCTTGTGTGCTGTTGGCTAGAGCACCTGCTCTGCCTTCACCAAGTCAATCTATAGCATCATAGCTCAGCCCCGGCACGGATCTTTGAGAGTTCTTGGCACTTTGGTGAAGTGCCCGATGATTGGAAGAGGGCCAATGTCATGCCTATCTTCAAGAAAGGGAGGAAAGTAGATCCGGCAAACTACAGGCCCATCAGCCTGAAATCCATCCTGGGGAAGGTGTTGGAAAACATTATCAAAGAGGCCATCCTTAACAGACTAGCTGAAGGCAATATCCTGAGGGATACCCAGCATGGGTTTGTTGTGGGTAGGTCTTGCTTGACCAATCTCATTTCCTTTTATAACCAGGTGACTTATCACCTGGACAACAGGGAAGAGATCGATGTAGTATACCTCGACTTCAACAAATCCTTCAATCTGGTATCCCACGATCACCTCTTGGCTAAACTGGCTAACTGCGGCCTTGACGTCACCACGATCTGTTGGCTGGGGAACTAGCTCCATGGTAGGACCCAGAGGGTGGT